ATGATTAAAATCTGTGGGGGGAAAAAAAGGCACGCACATGTATACAGACTCGTAAGACGCACACATACCACCATCACTCACAGAAATCCTGACATAAACACACACAAACATGAACACTAGTACCGTATCTAGTTACATTTTGTTTTGAAGTATGAAATTTTATTAAATTTAGCAAGCGGACCTCATAGGTGAAGAAAATGTGTCCAGTGCCCCCCATGTGAAGAGTTTGAGAGTGGTCCCACCTCCTTATGTAGTACTGTTCTCTGCAGTATGCAGGATCTGTCTAATTTTAAAGTGTAAACAGGACTTGGACTGGAACAGGGAAGAAAACTCTGTTTATAAAATTAAATTACCAAAATATGGACCAGTAAGCGACCTTTCACTTGCAAAATTATTTCATGTAAATGTTACAATCATTTATTATACTGTAGAAGAACTTTTGTAGAATAACCACTAGAGGGAGCTCTTATTGGTTTAGTACAATTACTGTCCTAAATGAAACCTGTACTGAGAAAGGAAAGATGGGGCTGTCTCTTCTGGCTGCCTCCCTCTAAGAATGATACATTTGCCTGGTTTTCTCTACATTCTATACTTTCCCTGATTTGGAACATGCATACAGGTTAGAAAGTCACAGAGAAGCGAGTGAACGCCTTATTTGTATACTTTGTTTCGATCTGTACCTTAACATTTTATAGACCTTATCCTGAAAACATTTTCAGAAGAGCTAAATACAGCTTTCCCAAACTGTTCAGGTGAGGTATCGGCCCCGGAAGGAGTATGTTTTCAAAAGGTTGGTGGGCTCAGCCTTCATTATGAGAAGGAGCATTGCAGGACTCAGAGCTTTAGTATATAATAAGCAGATAAAACCGCTCAAACTACATGTATAATTAAAATGATACATAAATATTATGAAAACATAATAAGCTTTAACATGTTCATGAACTGCACTTTGCTGAGCTCATTCATACCATTCAACCTAAAATTGAATTCTGTATAATCCACTGCACCCAGATGCCACATGCCATCTAACAAGCTCGGTAGGAGGCACAAAGGGGTTAAATTTGCTGGAGTTTGCTATATAACATTTTCACTTTACTTCCTGAATCATCAGTGATGGGCTGAATCTGGTTGCTGGCTGTGAGAATTTTCTCAGTAAGGGCCTGGATGTAAAACTGAAGTATTGATCAGGTAGGTTGTTCTTCCTGCATGGGTCTCAAACCATCATTTTCAGTTGTAATTTGAAATCCATCTGTTGGCAAACAAAAAATCTACCCTTGCAGTGAGGCTATCTTTGCAGTGCAAGGGTTAAGTGCTTATTTATGCCTAGGGGCCAAGAGCTCGTAGGAACCTGAACCCATCTTTCCTCCACTTTGGCTGTGGATGGTCTTTCATCGTCCCCACATATAATGCAGGTCTATAGAAGCCTGCATTAGATGTGATGATTTCAGTGGTCCTTAGACCATCGGTGAGAAGAGGCTGCGGAGACCAGTCTAACAGCCTAAAGGAAATTGGCAGAAGTGGTGATCATGTAAGTAAAACCGCTATTTCCTGTCCCCTAGTCATACATGAGCACTTAACCCCTTGTAGTACAGGGTAGCCTGACTGCAAGGGAAGTTTTTTGGTTTGTCCAGAGGTGGGCTTTTAGGTGTGCCTTATGGCCCATTCAAATCTTTGAATTGCAGTAAACTAACTCAGTAAACCAGGGGTGGCCAAACTACAGCCCTCCAGCTGTGGTGAAACTACAAA